ATTCTCAATTAAATAAATTTTACACATGGCGTAAAAATCTGGAATTAATAACCTGAACTAAATGCCTAGTATTATTAACCCAGACAGGCCTACGTGTAAAATACGTAATGACAAAGACAAGTTAATTCCCCTAAACAAATTAATCAATAACCCGAAACATGTCCTGGTATTATTAATTAATTGTTTTATAATTTTCTAATTTTAATATTTAACTTAATTAAATAATTTATAATCTAGCGATTGTGACCAAACGCGAAATGGCGGTAACCTTCAGCCGACGTGTTGCCTGGCTGACGCCGCCGAACCGAGAAATAAAATCAGACATGATATTTGTACCTGGAGTCTTCTTTTTTTATTTTAATACTCGTGCACTCCCTCGACGAGCTGCAACTCCTTCTGTCCAGGCTGGTGTAAATTTCTCCTCGGTAAATCCTCGGCAAATATCTCCTCGGATTGATCTGCTTGGCGGCGAAACTCTGGTCACCGTCACTCGTTTCTCCGGATATTTTCTCAAGCCTGTAACCGCAAATCAGCATTAGAAACTATTACAATTTAAAATTAATTTACGCAAGCTGGTAGGAGGCCTAGCAAGCAATAAATTAATTGAGTTTTATCGCTTCGTTCCACTTAAAGGTGAGCGAAATAAAATAATTACCTGTGCTCCGTGTTCTTACAAAAATTGCGAGGCGTCCAGTGAGACTGTTCGGTCACAATGAATCTTCGCGATTTTGTCGTTGTAGTTCTTTCTTCACTCTGCCTTCTCCACTCTCTCTCTCGGCGCCGGCGCTTCCCCCTCGGGTACGGAAGCCGGGTTGGCTCACGGCAGACTTATAGCTAAGTGGCGCCGCTCACGGCAACTTTCAATACTTGCACAAGTCCACACGACCACTTCCAACATGTGCACACACCCACATGTGCACATGTGCGCGAAAATGCAGGTATCTACCCTATCGACTCGCGATAACAGAAACTATGTTTATTGTTGTCTCTCTCTCAAAACGGACAAATTTTGTAGTCAACGGCAAAATCTTCGGTACTATTATACTTCATTAAGTAAATAAACGTGCAACATCAACTAATTGAGTGATTGGATAATTAATTAAAATTTGTGTTAATTATAAATGTATACGTAGTTTATCTAATTTAGTCATAAGTGATAAATATAATTTGAATTATTACTTATATCTTCGCCAAGAGGTTATTACCAGTTAAAATTGTAATTTGTAAGTACAAATAATATGCTATAATACCAAGTAATGAATAATGCCAGAAATCCAAAGTAATCAATTAATCATGAATATGTTAGTTACAGGTAATTCTTTAGATAAGCGAGACTATAAGGCAACTGTTAATTTGTACAAGACGATTAGAAAAATTTACCATGTTAGAAAATTTAATAAAACAATACTTTCACGAAAATTACACAATTATTCAAATACGTGAATTATTGTTAAATAAACATGGAATTTCTAAATCCATCAGCACCATTAAGAGAATTCTTTCTGCATTGGGACTGAAAAGGAAATATTTCAAGGAGTCAAAAATGGAAGACATCATTTCTGCTATTATAGAAGAAGTTCATTCATGCGGCTATAATTTAGGTTACCGAAGCTTATGGAGTAAACTAAAAATGCAGTATCACCTGAAAGTCAAAAGAGATACTGTTTACGAAATATTAAAGATTGTGGATCCAATTGGAGTTGCTAACAGATTCGGAAATAAGTTACGTCGAAGACAATACTTAAGTCCAGGACCGAATTTTTTGTGGCACCTTGATGGTTACGATAAGTTGAAACAATTCGGCTTCGCTATACATGGCTGCATAGATGGTTTTTCACGAAAAATTTTATGGTTAGAAGTAGCCACTACAAATAATGATCCAGCAGTTACTGCTCATTACTTTTTGAAAACAGTAAAGCAGCTTGAATTTCTCCCGACAATAATCAGGTGTGACAAAGGTTCTAAAAACCAGCTGATAGGTCTTCTTCAAACTTGTTTACGTAGTAAACATTCGGACAAGCTAGCTGGAAATGGAAGTTTCATCCAAGGGAAGAGTGTTCAAAATCAACGCATCGAATCGTATTGGGGTCGAATGCGTCAACACACAGTGGATTTTTATATCCAATTATTTAAGAGTATCCAGTCGAAAGGTCTATTTGATGGAAGTAATTTTCATATTAAATGTCTTCAATTTTGTTTTGGACCATTATTAAAACACGGCTTGGATTATAACCGGAGGCTATGGAATGAACATCGCATCCGAAAGCAAGCAGCCCGAAATCTAGTCGCTGGACGACCAAATGCATTGTTCAACTTACCTCATCAACACCAGTGTAGAGATTTCAAAAAGCTTACGAATAAAAATACAGTTGAAAGATTAATGGATAGGTTTACGAAAAAACCACAACTGCTTGATCCGATCATAACAGAATTGGTAGAATTATTGGTTCCTGATGTTAAAACTCCAACAAATCCTAAGGAAGCATTGAACTTATATAAAAATATTTTAGAAGCATATGCGACTCATAGGAATACAAATTAAAAATTTTTAGTCAATGTAATTGTTTTTACAATAAAAATTTCATGTAATAAAATAAAAACAACTTGTTCAATGTTTTTAAAAGTGTTTTTTTTTTAAATGAACAGCATTATATTAAAATATCTTAAAATTAATTTCACACAACTCGTTCAACAATTATATCCAATATAATTCCTGTAGCTTAAATTTTTAACTTCTAATTGTAAGATGTATTTGTTAGAATTCTGATAACAATAAAGAAAAAACACCAGCAAAGTAATTATGAATAAAATAAATACTTAAAAGTAAGTTACTGGAATAAGCCTACCGAAATGATTAAAATTTTTTATATTTTCCATCAGCTTTTTCACATTTTATAAAAGCTCATAGAGATAAAATAATTAAATAAATAGTAACTTAAAATAGTATAATTCTGGATTTTTAATAGCTTCTAAATTTTAACCTATATTGTTAATAATAAATTATATTGTTAGTGAAATAGCGAATAGTAAATACATTTAATTTTTATAGACTAAATTAAAGAATTTATCAGAAAAGGTATTAGTTACTTAAAACTGCGTAGTTCTGGCTTCTGAACAGCTTCTTTCTGTTCATCTATATTTTAAATAACTAATGAAGTTGAAGCGGATATTGAAAATGAATATTTTTAGTTATTAACTAACTTAGTTTAAAATTTAAAGCTTTCAATCACAACCTGTGCGTAACAAATAACTTCATGTAACCATCGTTTTCTTCAACACCTTATTTTATCATTTGTTTTCCTTATCTATATATACACGTTTAAATAGTTTAAGCAATATAGAAGCATTTGGTCTTTTTTTAGGTTCATGCTCAAAACATCTTTTAATTGTATCCTCTATAACTATCGGTACACCTTCTAAGCATGGTATTTTTTGAGTTGTAACAAGTTTTCTCAAACTTGGTATAGAAAGATTAGGTACTTCGTTCCAAATTCGTCTTTCTGTAAATAGCTCGACAATACAGCACGCTAAAGACCATACATCTGAGTATGTAGTACCTTGTGTATGGTCAATGAGTATTTCCGGTGGCATATACAAAGGTGTACCTCGAAAATATTGACCAACAGTTATTTCTAGAGCTGTTGATCCATCACACATCTTGCTGAGGCCGAAATCGCAAATTTTTATCATAAAGAAATTATTTATTAAGATATTTTCTGGTTTTATATCTTTATGAAGGATAGTAGGGTCAAATTCGTGAAGAAACGTTATTGCCTTGCACATTTGCAACGCAATGGAATAATTTTGATTTTTTTTCACTGCATAATCCAACATCTCGTCTCGCTTCGACATAAAGATCGCTAAATTTTGACTCTTGAAATATTCCATTACGATGTAAAAATAAGATTCTGTAGAACATACACCCATTATAGAAATTAAATTTGGGTGACGAATCTTATCCATAATATTTATTTCTCTATATATATATTTCATTTCTTCAGAAGCTTTCATCTTCTTCACAGCAACTTCGGTGTTCTTCCAAATAGACAAAATTACTGATCCAAATGATCCGCTACCTAATACTGTGTTGGTGAACTTAATATCTGATTCTTCAATTGTGGGTATGGAGAGTCTCAATTGAATTTTGTTATCATTCGTGAGTCTTGGATCTTCGTGTTTTTTATCAGAATTAGTGATAATTTTAACACTAGACGATGCTTTCTTTTTTGATTGGTGAAGTGTTAGAACTGTTCCGGTATATGATTTTTTAGTCACAGTTTTTTTATTAATGTTACTCGGTTCACGGTCTTTCGAAGTATCTGTGGAAGAAGAAACCTTTACACTGTCTTCACTCTTAAAGATCGTCGACAATAAATACAATCTTAACTGTGAGTTTCTTATTTTTAATTTGTCACTGAAATCCCAAAAATCAGTATTCTTTTTCTTAATAGAATCTGTGAAACTGTGGAAAACTTCTTCTTGAAAATTTCCCAAATCGATCACCGACCTTGCCAAGAGTTCTTTATTGAATACATTTTCCATTGCAGACAAACTGATTTTTTTAATCTCCTCGAAAGTATATTTTTTGTTTCGATCCAGATCTACCTTTTTTATACCACCAACTGGGGCAATAATTTGCTTAAATATTTCGTTGGGACTTTCTCGGTGCTTCCAACCTACATGTAAAGTTTTCATAACTTTCTTCGGTGGGATCTGCAAAAAAAAATCATTTACATATAATGGTAACTAAATATAATGCTTGTAAATTTTTTTAGAATTTTTGGATAAAGTAATTATTAAAGACAAGAAATAAACCAATAAAGAAATTATTTAACTTTATACGTACTGGAATGTCTGGTGATTTTTGGGATATTAAATCATTATTTTCCTTCCCATCTATAATACCCATAATTTCATCTATTCGTCGTCGATCGATGTTGTAATCCATTTAAGTTGGAATCACATTTAAGAAAAATGGGTTTACGTCCAGCAACTGACATTATGAAAGTAACGTTAGGATTAGATGGAAATTATTTGTTATGCAGTTCGTGTCGAAAAGAAGCTTCAAAATTAGTAAAGGAACAAACAAATACTATTGATGATCCTAATGTTGATCCAAGTGACCATGATGATGA